GTGGAAGAAAGAAAATTATCATATTTTCTCTATTCCCTCCCTCTTGATAATTGATCATTGGAAAGTTTTCTTTGGCTGGATGTTTCCTATGTGAATTGCTTATCACTACCCCTTGACCTCACCTCCAAAAAAATAAGAAAGAAAAAAAAAGAGATTGTGCTGTGACCTTTGTTTCATTGCAATATGATTCCACCTGCGAGAAAGGAAAACCATGTAACAAAGCCCAGATGCTATTAATAGGGCAATTAAACATCCTAAATAATGTCTAGAATAATGTTTAAAAACTTTAAGTCTGTGCTTTAAATGACAAAAGTCAGGAAACTCACGGTTAGGCTGACTTTCTTTCCTCCTCTGGTGTTTGGCGAATAAAAAGAACAAATGAAAAGGCAAAAGAGAGAAAGAAAAGCAGAAAAATACCAAGCAGACAATGGGAAACTTTTACTTCTTGGTAATTTTCTGCTACTTAATTTTATCTACTGAGTGTCAAAGGTTATTTTCTTCCTGGCTATTCTTCCTATTTCCACACTGCTGAAAGATACTTTTGTATGCATGGTGCACATGCTATTTCTCAAGGACTCAAATTGATCAAGAAATGGATAGCAATGAGTTAAACAGTACTTGTGGTTGTATATTATGTTGAACATAAAAGAAAGTTACTGGCAAATTTAAAGTCACTTATCTTTTTCCTTAAAATGGAAAAATCAAGGTGATTTTGTTGAAGAAACAAAAGGATAGGCCATTGGCAGAGGATGAAAAAGTACAAGAGAGGCAAAGGCAGCAAGCAGAAGAACTTGACAACTATGAGAGTTCAAATCTAATCTAGGTCCCTTACAGTTAATTTGGTTGAAAGGAAAAAAAACATAAGCCAGGAGATGTGGGTCTGGTATGCTCTGTTGCTCTCTGAAGTTGTGATCTTGGATAAGTCACTAAACCTTTTGCAAAGGGCCTCAGTTTCCTCATATATAAAGTAGGGATTCTAATCTGTCTACCTCAATTGTGTCAAATAAAAAAAATTACAAACTCTTTACTGAAAACTAAAATACATAAAAAACATTAGAAGTATGCTTATGATTATGATTTTTTTTTACCACACTGATAAAGCTCCCTTTGTGCAGGCAGGAAGCTAGAACTTGCTTTGCACTGAACCCAACAGAAGCTAGAATAAAACAGCTAATGTTATTTACATATTTGCAATGTGCCAAGAATGGCACTAAGTCCTTTGTGTGCATCAAACATTTAATAATTACAGCTTTCAAAACTAGAAATATTGTTATCTCCATTTTACAGATAAGGAAATAGGCTCAGTGATTTGCCCAAAGTCATACAGCTAGGAAGTGGTGACAAAGCTGCGATGTGAACCTAGGACCTGTCTCTGTTAACCTAAATTTGCTGCTTCCAAATTGAAATGGAGAACCTAGGTTAGATCAGGTTCCCTGAATGGGGTGCACTATATCAGAGTTGGCTTAAGGAAAATGGTTCCCACTCCGGAATTCCTCTTTCAAGCATTCCTATTAGTATTAATGAATGTGATAAACTCATTTGTGCTGAGGTGTTATTCCTTCCAAGAGTCTGAAGAGGGCAACCCTTAACCCATAGAATGAAGTAATAGCAGTGGTATTAAAGACCTTGTATCACTTGAAGGAAGCAGAAGGATTTTGTGGCCTCCTTGAAATCACACCTTATAGACAGTTGCCTCCTTTGTCTACATTTAGAAATGTTCTTAGCTTTCCAGAACGTTGAGAGAAGTGCTTCCTTAGCTTTCTAGGGTACAACAAGCACTTCTAAATTTGAATTCTGCTCTGGCTCTTACTATAATAGCTGTGTGGGCTTAGACAATTATTTAACTTTCTTGAGCTTTGACCTCCCCATCTGTACAACAGAAAAAAATAATTTTTGCCTCACAGAATTGTTCAGAGGGTTAAATGAGACAATATATGTCCAAGTGCCTGTTTCATACTATTGCTCCATAAATAATAATAACAGCTAACAATTTTATAGTATTTACTATATTTCAAACATTTTCATAAGCACTTACAATAACTTATATTAGCATAATCATAATGACCCTGTGAAGTAGATATTATTATAACTGAATCACAGAGGGGTTAACATGCCCAAGGTCACACAACTGTAAAGTGGCATAGCCAGGATTCAGACAAGTCTATTGGCTCTCTGATTGTTGTCTACCTCTAAGAATTTTCAAAAGAAGACAATTCCATAAAAGAAACAAAAGTTTTTGAGTGATGAAAACATGGCTGGACTCTGTATGACTTCTGAAGCTAAGATTTTTGAAAGAGCCGTAGATGAGTTTGGGAATATCTGTTTAAAAATAACAACAATAACATTAATGATATCAAACACGAATTCAACCTTTGCTGCATAATAGGTCCTATATTATCGCTCAGTAACCCTGGCCTATAAGTATTAAATAAATATTAATATTTTTATAATTATTATAAAGCTCACAATCTAGTAGGAGGAATACAACATTTATAAAAATAACTAGTATACAAAGCATAAAGTGCAAAGTGATAAGAAACATTAAGAGAAAATGACCTTGGATTTCAGAAACAAGAAAAGACACTTTGAGGGTGGGGACTTATTTGGTGCTGACAGTCAAAGATGGTTTAAAGGGAAAGGCAGTTTATAAGAAAGAACTTGAAGAGAAGGTAAAGGTTGCAAAATGCAGAACAGGAAGGGGAGTTGAATTCTGAGTAGAAGATACAGGGACAGTGAAATAAACAGAATGTTTTGGGAAGAAGTAAGTGATTTTGGTTGTGAAGGGGGCTGTAGGAGAAGAAGTCAGATTTGATGGCTGGGAGATGTGAGTCAGGCTAATCATTCTGTGAAAAATGGGGAGTCATTGGAGACTTTTAAAAATGTTTTTGGTGTCAACAAATAGTTCAACTTAGGTAAAAATAACCTAGCAACAACTATAGGCTGGATTAGAAGGATAAGAGGAATCCCCAAATAATAACAAAGGCAGTGAAACTAGTTAGGTAGTTATTGCTATAGTCAGTCGAAATTGACACCCACAGAAAGAAAGCCTTTGTTTCTGTGTCAAGGAACCAATTCAAATATTTATTCACAATGCATTCACTAAATTCCTACTCGGGCCAAGCACTTGAGTTGAGCAAAAACCTCTCCTGAAGAGATTTGGTGAATTATAATTTAGTAATTGTAACTTATAAATCTCTTTGAAGTACATTCTAGGAAAAAGTAGCCTTAAGAAACAGCAGAATTTTACCTTTTTTTAGGAAACAATTTGAACTGTGCAAAGAGAGAAATAATCACTTCATAGATACAGACAATAATGAAACATGAAAATGCTCATAAATACACAGTTGCAAGCTGTACTTAAATCCTATATCCAGTAGATGGCGATTACAAGCTTTCACCTAGGCAAAAAGTAGCTTTCATCTTTTAGGATAAGGAAAGGAAGAGAAAGAGGGATAAGAGGGAAGGAAAGAAGGGGGAAATAGAAGATCAGTGAAAGGAAGAAGAAAACAGTAGTGAAGAGGAAGTGGGAAATGGCAGGGAAATAGAAGCTATGCTTGCAGTTCAAAAGTCTCCCTGAGATATGCTTAGTTCGGAGCTGTCTCCCAGCAGTTAAATTTGCAGCTAGCCCTGCTAGTGGGAAATAAATTTATATTGGTTTCTAGACAAGAACTGAAGAAGAGAAGTTTTCGTTTCATAATCCCTTCAACTGACTTTAGTAAAAAGAAGGCATAGCTGTGTTTGAAAGGTGCTACACAGCCCTTTTGACCCTGTGCAACAAGAAAAATCTAACTATTCTGTTCCCTAGGTGTCTTTTTCTTTCTAGTTCAGCAGAAAATCCTACCAGAGGAAGAGCAAAGTTGGAATGGAAAGTTCCTAATAAATTACTGGGGTCTTTTACTAATGGCAGAAAAAAGAAAGAAATTCTAGTCAAGCTGACCTTTTGAGATCCAAGTGGGGACTGTTTCCAAAGGGAGAATCCAGCAGGAAAAAAAAAATACAACTTGAATATTGGGCTGTGGTCTAATTACAGGACTCAAGATTTACAAGGGAAGGAAGAAAAAGGTAGAAGACCATCCTGCATCTTTCTTTGAGAATATGATACCATTTTACTTCATTTTTATGCAGTCAGAATATCTTGAGGTACTCACTTGATCCATACTTCTGAAAAGAGATGGGAAGATTAGAGGTTTAAAGAAGTTGAGGACAGTTTGCCCAAATATCCTAAGTCTTAGCAGCTGCAAATTTCTGTAGGTCAAAAGTTTAACATGGGTCTCACCATAGTGAGGTGAGCTGGGCTAGTGTTGACAGGTGAATCTTGAGTGCTTCTCCCAAATGCTAGTTCTCCAGGGGTGGGTAGCCACTATCTGTGGGATTCCAAGCCTTCAGAAGGGAACACAGCCCTTGATTTTAACCTTGACTGGTGTTTGGCACCACATTCCCATGGGTTCACACCAGAGGCAAAGAGAAAGGGGCTTTTCTCGGTTCTCCCCACCTCCAAGGGTGGAGCCTGCAGCGCCGGGCAAGAAAGTCCCCTGGCTAGGGAAGGGGTGCTACCCTAAAACGCAGCACACCACAGTGTCTCCGGGCTGTGGACTCCCAAAATAGCTGTTGCCCACCCCTGGAGAGCTATCGCTTGGGGCAACTGCTCAGGAGTTGGCAGATGCCAGTTCAGTGGATTGAATCAGTGGGCTACCAGCTGTCCCATTTGCATCACAGTCCCGCAGTGTCACATCTGCCTTGCAGAGAATCCTGCTCTTTCTGTCCTGCACTGAGCTGGCTGAATCATCAGTGGTTTCCAGGGGCAGAGCCCTCTTTTCAGCATTGTTCACCTCCTTTGTTCTGGTCCTGTTGACCACCAGAGGCGAGGTGCCTGTCTCCAAGCTCCCTCACATGATCACAGGAAGTAACCACTCAGACGAATCCCTCCCGTGCCCAGTGTGGTCCCAGCACAGAGCACTGGGGAGTTTAAAATGTTTCCTACTATTATCTCCTCTCCACAGAGCCTGTCGCCCTGTGTGACGACTTTGCAATGACTCCCTGTCTGAGTGGGTGTGGAGGTCAGTGGAGGAGCCAGGTATCCTCCTGTGGGTCAGATCACACTGTGCTGGCTGGACAGGTGGGTGCAGCCGTCCCACGCTCTATTCCCTATTGTATATTTCTCACTTTCCAGTTTTTGCGATCCTATCTCTCACTCATCTTTTTTAAATTTTTCTTGTTCTGCGTGTCCCATGTTGTTTCTCTGTAGATTCACAGTGCTGTTCTTGGATGGGGGAAGTGATCCACGCGTGTGTTGCTGTCCAATTTCTTCACCTCCTTCTCTAGGAGCCGCAAGCCAGAAGGTCACCATTAATCCACTGTTTTTTTCTCCCATTATAGGGTTATTAAATGGTCTAATTTCAATAGTAACATCAAATATCACTAATCGCCAATTACCATAACATATAATAATAATAATAATAAAGGTTCGAAATATTGTGAGAATTACCAAAATGTGACACAGAGACATGAAGTGAGTACCTGCTATTGGAAAAAGTGTGCCAATAGACTTGCTGGACACAGGGTTGCCACAAAACTTCAATTTGTAAAAAATGCTGTATGTGCCAAACACAATAAAGCAAAGCACAGTAAAGTTAGGTGTGTCTGTATTTACTTACAACTCAAATTAGAGCTAAGTTTGATGATAAAAGAAATGGAATACACAATGTCCTCAGGAGAATAAAGACAAATTGTTTATACCTCCACTTATTAAGCATGGATGTATTTTTCCTGGATACTGTAGCATGCAGTTCTCAGAGTACAAGGTGAATGAGGCAAGGCCCTGTGAAACCAGCCCTGGCTTTCCAGAAGTATTAGTAAAAGAGAAATAATACAGAAAATATTTCTAGTCAATATATTTTGTCCATCAAATGGAATTGTTTATTAAATAAAATTATTTTAAAGGTATGTTATTAATTAAATAATTATATCTCATTTATTAAGAATAATCATTGGAAATCTGGCATGGGGCTGCATACTGGTAATCCTAGCTACTTGGGAGGCTAAGGCAGGAGAATTGTTTGAGCCCAGGAGTGAGCTATGATCATGTACTTCAGCCTGGATGACATCGCAAGATCTTGTCTCACAAAAAAAAAGAGTAACTATTAGTTAATCACTTTTAAAAGTCTATATGCAATTAATATAATATTCTATTTTGTATTAATCTTTACAGTAAGCCTGGGTGCATAGGTACATGCCTATAGTCCCAGCTACTTGGAAAGCTGAGGTGGGAGAATCCCTTGAGGCCAGTAGTTCAAGGTTGCAATGTGTCATGATTGCACCTATTAATATCCGTTGGACTTTAGCCTGAGCAATATAGTGAGACCCCATCTCTAAATTAAAAAAAAACAATCTTTACAGTATACAAGCATGTTCACATTATATTATTTTTCCTTTCATTTGCACAGTAGTTAAAGAAGATGAAAAGGAATTTGTCCATTTTGCAAACAATGAAGAGTTTCAACGATTACCTAATCTCTTCTAGTCATTAATAACAGAACAAGACATCAAACCCAGCTTATCTGAATCTTAGTCCAGTGCATTTCCCCAATTGTCTTTAAGGAAGCACATTCAAAGGACAGATGGTGAAAAAGGCAAACATGAGAAAGTATAGGAGAGATGGTACATAACTAATTTGGTTTAGCATTTGTAATAATTTTATCAAAACAAAACAAAATAGGAGAAAACCTTAACCTACTCTCTGCCCCCAGGAAGTCTGATAGTGTTATATTTTAAAAAATGTTTTCTACCATTTGATCCAACAATTCCACTACTGAGCATCTACCCAAAAGATCAAAAGTCACTTTATGAAAAAGACACCTGCACTCAAATGTTTATAGCAGCACAATTCACAATTGCAAAGTTGTGGAAACAACCCAAGTGACCATCAATAAATGAGTGGATTAATAAAATGTGGTATATGTATACCATGGAGTACGATTCAGCTATAAGAAACAATGGTGATATAGCACCTCTTGTATTTTCCTGGATAGAGCTGGAACCCATTCTACTAAGTGAAGTATCTCAAGAATGGAAAAACAAGCACCACATGTACTCACCAGCAAATTAGTTTTAACGGATCAACACCTCGGTGGACATATAGGAGTAACATTTATCGGGTGTTGGGCAGGTGGGGGGGGTGAGGAGGGGATGGGTATATACAAACACAATGAGTGAGAAGTGCAACATTTGGGGGATGGTCACTTGAGGGGGGAGGGGGGCATGGGGAATATAGGTAACCTTAACACTTGTACCCTCATAATACACTAAAATAAAAAAAAATGTTTTGTTGAACTCCACAATGAAGCTATCTGGTCTGCATTTCTTTTGTTGTGAAGTTTTTAATTTTTTCTATTGATACATTATAACCTGTACATTTTTATGGGGTACATGTCATATTTTAGTATAAGCATAGAATGTGTAATGATAAAATCAGAGTAATTGAGATAGCCAGCTCAAGTATTTATCATTTCTTTTAGGAATATTCCAATTCCACTATTTTAGTTGTTTTGAAATATACAATAAGTTATGGTTAACTATAGTTGGCCTAAAAATTCTGAATAGATGTTTCTGAAAAGAAAATGTACAAATGGTCAACAGGTATATAAAAAATGTTCAACATCACTAATCACAGAGAAATTGAAATCAAAACTACAATGAGATATCATCCCAGTTAAAATGGTTTTTGTCAAAAAGACAATAATAGATACAGGTAAGGATGTGAAGAAAGGAGAACCCTTGTACACTGTTGGTGGGAATGTAAATAAGTATAGCCATTATGGAAAACAGTATGAAGGTTCCTCAAAATACAATTTCTATATGATCCAGAAATCCCACTGCTGAGTATATATCCAAAAGAAAGGAAATCAGGATAGCAAAGAGTTATCTGTACTCCCATGTTTATTGCAGCACTATTCACAATAGGCAAGATATGGAATCAGCCTGTGTGCTTATCATCAGATGAATGGATAAAGAAAATATGGTACACATACACAATGCAATGTTATTCAGCCATAAGAAAGAATGAAATTCTGTCATTTGCAACAACATGGAGAAAACTGGAAGATATTATATTAAGTAAAATAAGCCAGACACAGAAAGACGAATACTGCACATTTTCACTCATATGTGAGAGCTAAAAAAAAATTAACTTATTAATGCTTTTCTTTATGTGCATTTTTTTACCTTTTATTTGAAAATAATTATAGACTCATGGGAAGTTGCAAAAGTAGTACATAGAGTCTCTTGTATTCTTCACTCAATTTTCCATAATGATCACATTTTAAATAGATGTAGTACAATATCAAAACAAAGAAATTGACATTGGTACAACACCATTGAATAGACTACATATCTTATCCAGCTTTCACAATTTTTATATATTTTTAAACTTTTTTTTTTACATTTTTTCATTTGTCTATGTGAATTCTATGGCATTTTGTTCTATGTGTACAGTAGATTCCTGTAACCACCACAGGATCACCATTCAAAATTATTCCAAGACCATATAGGTCTTCCTTGTGCTATAAGGTCTCCCTTTATAGTTATACCTTCTCCATCCTTGCCATCCATAAACTCTGGCAATCATTAATCCATTCTTCATATCTATAATTTTATAATTTTGAAATTGTTATGTAAACATAAGCATACAGTATTTAACCTTTTGAGATTGACTTTTTCACTTAGCATAGTGGCCTTGATACCTATTAAGGTTGTTGCATGTATCAATAGTTTGTTCCTTTTTATTGCTACATGGTATTCCATAATATAGATACACCAATTTGTTTAATCATTAACCTTTTGAAAGGTATCAGGAATATTTCTAGTTTGGGGCTATTACAGATAAAGCTGCTATGAACATGTGTGTACGTACAGGTTTTTGGTGTAAAAACAAGTTTTAATATCTCTGGTATAAATGCCTAAAAGTGGAAGTTGCTGGGCCATATTATAAGTATATTTTTAACTATATAATAAAGTGCCATATTCTTCCAGAGAAGCTGTACCATTTCATTATATATTTCCACCAACAACATATATCCAGTTTCTCCAAATCCTCACCTGCATTTGGTATTGTCACAGTTTTCTATTTTAGTCATTTTGATATGTATGCAGTGATATTTCGTTGTAGTTTTAATTTGCATTTCCCTAATGGTTAAAGATGTTGAATACTTTTTCATGTGCTTATTTGCCACAGGTATATCCTCTTTGGTGAAATGTTCATCTGTGTCTTTTAGCTATTTTCTAGTGATACATTTAACCTTATTACTGTTTTATTTTTACTTTTTCTTTTTCTTCTTTTAAAAAGTACTTCCTAATGACCAAATAATATATCATGTATTTTCATGTAATGTTTTTAAAATGTTAATTTTTATTTTGAGGACTTCATTCCAAAGGATTTTTTCTGAATTTTGTGTGGTATGGCTTTAACTTTAGATTTTCCCAAATAAAGAGCCAAACTGTCCCAACAATTGAACAATTGAATAATCCATACCATTACTACTGCTTTTAAATCCTATTTTTATAACACTCTAACTATATATTCATATATATAATATGCTAATTATATGTTAATTGTATGTTATGTGTATAATCATATACTAATTATATGTACTAATTATTTATATGCTCATTATATAATCTGTTTCTGAACTCTTTAGTTCTAGCAATCTATTTGTTTAGTCTTTAAGCAGTACCATGCTGTTTTACTTTTTATAATTCTATCATATACCATAATATCTGGTAGAACAGTTTCTATCCCATGAACCTTTCTTTTCAAACATGAATTGGCTACCATATATTTACTGTAATTGTAAATTTACTCTAACATATGAATTTAAAAGTAGGTCCATGAAAAAATTCTTATTGATGTTTTGGTTGGCATAGCATTGAACTTAATAGCTTTTTGGAGGGAGAAATGACATATTTACAATATTATTTCTCTCCTCCATTGACATATCACTCTCAGTTCATTCATATTTCCCTTCATGTCATTTCCTGCCATTTCTCTACTACTACACCATTACATCTGTGGATATTGAAGATGAAATTTAAGTTTGGTGGACAAAAGCAAGATTAAAGCCCTACTAGGTGTCCCAGTTTGGCATGTGGTGATCTAAACTGGGCAGTAGGATACAGGTGGGAGGAGATTTCATGTGTATGGATAAGGACAAAGCAAGACTGATAGTGTGGATCCCTAGTTTCAGACCCTCATGTAAGACACTGGGAAATTCTTAGGGGAACCTGCAGCTACTGAGATCCAAGCACAAGCTCTAATGCTAGAAGATGGGAACAAGACTGGGTGGGAAAATTGGCATCTCAAACTTACTGAAACCTGAAAGGAGGTTGAAAAAAAGGTTAATTGAAATTATTAAAAAAAACAGAGAAACTGGATTGGGCCTCATTTTATAAATAGTGCTCATTTTTGTAAGGCATTGGAATACAGACAGAATTCCCCCACCTCCTATTTTTCACCCCAAACCTAGTGAGTTTACCTGATAAAGTTTTGCTCTAGCTAATGAATCTGCTGAGTGCATGCTGATTTGACTGAGGAAAAATGTGGTTTGAAACATTTTGGGGGAAGTAATTTAGGATTAAATACTTACATCAAAGAAACCTCTTATGGATTATCCAGGGAGGGTATATTTATAGGACATGCATTCTAAATGTCCAAATGCTAGTACTGCAACTTACTTGCTGTGTAACCTTGCATGACTTTATATTTTAAATTTTTATTTATTTATTTATTTCAGGATATTATAGGGGTACAAACATTTTGGTTACATGTTATGATTTTGCCACACCCAAACCATGATTTGAGGCGTTCCCTTTCCCCTCTACAATGCTCACTGCATCCATTAGTTGTGAGTTTACCCACCCGCAAACCCCCTATCCCCGAAGAATATTACTACCATGTGAGCACCATAATTATTATGGATACATAATAGTTGTATATCTTTATAGGGTACATGTGATGTTTTGATACAGGCATATAATGTGAATTAATCACATCAGGGTAATTCAGGTCTCTATCACCTCAGACATTTAACATTTCTTTATGTTAGAAACATTCCAATTCCACTCTTTTAGTTAAAGTGTACCCTCACTTATTGTTGATTATAGTTACTTCGATGTGATATCAAATAGTGTTCATTCTATCTAACTATATTTTTGTACCCATTAACCATCCCCACTTTATTCCACCCCTCCCCACTACCCTTCCCAGCCTCTGGTAACCATCATTCTACTCTCTTTCTCCATCAGAACAATTGTTTTTATTAATAATATTTACCTTCCACATGTAAATGAGAACATGTGAGGTTTGTTTTTCTGTGCTTGGCTTATTTCACTTCACATAATGTCCTCCAGTTCCATCCA